GGGTATTTTTCTTATGTTACGCAATCGTATGCATTATTGCCATAAACTACGACACCCGTTCACCTCTGTACTCCATGGGTCATATATTTAAAATCATATCTCAACAGAGATATTCTTAGCAATTATTGATAATGCTTTCAATATCCAATCGTGAATTTGCATCCAACCGTTCAAATTTAATCTATGAGTTATTCTGTTCGAATGAAGGCCGCTTGTTGTTCGATTATGACAAAAGTCAACGATGTTTGCAACGTAACTATAAAGGAGACCGAACTTACAAGCATGTCAGTCGAACGTTGAAAATGAATGAATCCAATATCGCGCAAACACGACGTAACATTTGTCAATATTATGCCCTCATGTTTGGAGCAAGATAGTTATATTTCATATGCGAGAACAATCTGTATGGCTTGAATTACAACGCTGCAGTGAAGCTGTTCCATTCAGCAGATTGTCGAATGATTCAGAAAAGAAACGAGATTAATGTAGCCGCTAACCTCAACTGATATGTAAACGGACGGAAGATGCATTTTCAAACACATGCGCGATTGAACACAGATTTAACACAGTTGCGTCTTGACAGTTTGTCGGGTTTCCAAGTCAATCAACAATCGCTAACCACTTAAAATAGTATGCCAGTGGGAATATAACCGGAAAGACAACGTTAATTTAGTAGCACTAGCATGAAAGTAATTGTGCATTATATATGTATATATGTATATAAAACACTCTGAAGTAATATATTGCAAAAAAAGTATTCTATCTAAGTTGAATCACTGTCTTGCACGTGTTACTGAATAAATCCTAATAAAAAAACACTGGTCTAATAGCATGTCTTATATTGAAATTTAATTATGACTACACTGTACCGCCTTCGTTAGGTTGTGGGTTTGTTAATGAGAAGTCAATGAATGCAGTCATACTGCCTTGCGTGAAACATAATTTAGGAAACATCAATATAAATATGCGATATCAATATAAGTACTGGGTTATTACGAGCAAAGGAATCAATCACTGCCACGCCAAAGTATCTTGCCCCACTAAACAGACTTGCACAACATTACCCCACACTGACGCCCCCCCCCCCAAAAGGCTGTTGGAAATAGGTTAATAAACGCAGACCCACATTGAGTATATGGAATACGAAGTAAAATTAAACGATATCTGATTGAAGCAGCAATCTGTAATTAATCAATCATTCCAAGTCCCCAAATTGTTGTAACATCTGTGATCAATTATAGAATCCTAATCTAGCAATCGGCGCGAATATTGATTTGTGTGTGACTTGTCGGAAAATCAATTTTTGAATTCAGGCTGTTTCTTTATCCAGCGCAATCGGCATGAATACTGATTTATGTGAATTGTCGAAGAATCAGTGAAGATACGTTAATGAACATTCAATCATAGTATAGACGTTACCCAATTGGGAAATGCATTGCTAGGACAACGCCGCGTAGGATAATAAACTCAAGCTACTACATATAAAAACGTGC